TTCCCCGCGGCACGGGCCTCGCCCCGTGCGGAGCGCACCGCTCCGGCTGGGATACAGGGAGACGGCGGGAGCAGCAAGCGTGGAGAGACGAGCGGGGGCGCGGGAGGAGGGCAAAACATGCTTCCTCACTGCTGAACGGGCGAAGAGCGGTCTAGAAGAAGCCCTCTTGCCGTCGGGGAGGGCGGCCGGAGAGCTGATGCCCCTGTGGTGGCACGTCAGGGTAGAGGCTTCACAGCCGCCCTGGCACAGGCGCCCCCGGTGACGGACCAATTTGTCTGATGCCGTTCTTCGCCCGCCAAACTGCAGGAGCTCCTCGGCCTTGCCACGGGGAAGCTCCCGCTGGCCCGCCCGCTCCCACGGGCGCCCGAGTCTCAGACCGCAGCCGCGGCCGCGACCGCTCTCCGTCCCGTCACCGCCCGCCCGCGGGCAGCGCGCAGAGGCGTGTGGTCACCGCCGCCAGGGCGCGCAGGGGGCCCTGGCTGCAGACAGCCTCGTGCCGGCGAGGTGCCCCCAAAGGCCTGCCACGATCGTCGAGGACTGCGGTCTGCCTAGACACCTCGAGCACATCCGCCTCCACCGCAGGGCTGGTGGCCAGGGCTCGGAAGCGCACCCTGCAGCTCTTGCTCACGAAGGAGCCCTGGCCACAGGCCTGCGGGGCATCGCCAACGTGTGCGTCGGCCTCGCCGTCCCCTGCGCTGCAGCCGCTCGGGCAGCACATGATAAAGTGCCTGAAACCCGACTTTCGCACCGACATCTCCAGGTCCCACGCGCCGTCCGCGCGGGACTGAAGCTCATAGCGAACCGACTGGTCACCCCCGCTCACTACCAGCTGCTGCCCACGGGGGTCAGCACACTCGACGTGTGCCAGGCCAGCCTGCGACATTGCCGTGCTCACGGCCCGGAGCAGCATCGGTGGCGCCTGGCCTCCACGGCCCAAGCACTGCTCAACTGACTCGACCAGCGCCTCCGAGAACAGTCGCTTGAGCACCTGTGCCTCGTCTGGATTCGCTCCGTGCTCTTCGAACACCGTCGAGAAGCAGAATGTCTTCCGATCTATCACAAAAACACTGCGGGTCGCATCGAGGATCATCTGCTCGCTGACGTCACCAGACTGGCCGCTGAACCTGTCCCTGCTCCGCTTCGCACCGTCGGGCAAGCGAAGGTCCTCAAGGTCCAGGTCCAACAGGTGCTGCACGTGCACCAGGTCCCTCAGCGCTTCATCGGGCAGAGGCCTTGGCCCTGTAAGCCACTCGACGTGCCTCCCGAGGAGGTGCTGGCGACTGGCCGCCCGCGCGCGGGCGAGCTGGTCCTCGTCGAGGTAGACTTCCTGCCTGTGCCATTCGGCGGCCCGTGACGACGTGGCGGAGTGCCCTCGCCTCTCCAGGTCGCACCGTTCGCGTGCGTGCCTCTGTCGCAGCGGCTCGTAGACGTCATCCAGCAAGCGCTCGACGCGCTCCCTCTGCGGATGCGGCTGCGACGGGCCCTCTGCTCGGCTGTTGCGTCTGGCCTGGTATTCGGAGCCGAGGTGGAAGAAGTCGATGCAGGCTGGACGCTTGAGGAGTTCTGGGTTCTCCAGCAGGGAGTCCAGGCTCCTCTGTAGCGTTCGCTGGAAGACCTCGTCCTGCGCCGCTGCAAGGTCGTCTGTGTCCCAAGGTATGCCGCTGGCGCCAAGCTCGCGGCAGAACTTCGCGAGGAAACTAACAAGATCTTTCCAACTCTTGGTGACGGTCCGTGTCATTCCATCCTGGTTGCTGATCCGGATCTGGCAGAACACGGCGACTGGATCAGTGGACAGCTCAACGTCTGCCAACTCAATTGCGAAGATCTCCTCCGACCTGAACTCCCTGGTCTCGTTCGACAACTCGCCGAGCAACGACGGCGGCGGAAAATCTGGAAACTGCATGTGTCCATTGCTCGCGTGTTTTCGATTTGGCCGCCGAGAACAAACGTTCTACACAAGGTGCTTTCTGAGCTTCAGCCAGATGGAGACGAAGGAGGACAGGGATGATGATGATGCTGCTGCTGCTGATGATGATGATGATGATGATTGCGAGGATGATGATGAGAAGTACAGCGAATATGGCGACCTGGGTAATGATGAGGATCAGGTGGATAATGATGACGCCGTTGCGGAGAGCGAGAATGAGCAAGATGAAACGTCTAGGATGAAACGCAACGCGATGGGGATGAGGAGGACAGGGAGGAGGATTCGCGGGAGGTAAATAAAAGGTGGAATTTAATGATAATACTGGTGAAGACGAGGGACCCCCCATACAATGTGGGACAATGACACTCTAGAATACTTCTGGAAGATCACAGTAGCTTCGCGTTCGTGTGGCCGCAATCCAAGATACATTACGCTGATCCACGCTCCCAAGAGCACGGCCCATAGGAAGCTAATCATACTGGACCTGCGTTACCAGGGCCAATAACTCTAGCGTTCCCAATTGTATTAAGCTGGGTCCGCGCTCGTAATGCCACGATCTCAAGTAACTGCGCTGGATCCGCGCTCCCAAAACCACGATCCTCTAACTTACGCTGGATCCCACCTCCCAAGGCCGCGATCCGATCTAATGTACGCTGGATCTGCGCTCGCAGGGATACGACCGTTTGCGGAGTACATTGGACCGCGCTCCCAAGGGCATGGCGCTATGGTAAGTGAGTTAGTCATACTGGACCTGCGTTCCCAGAGCCAATGACTCTGGCGTGCCCAACTGTATTACGCTGGGTCCGCGCTCGTAAGGCCACGATCTCAGGAAAATACGCTGGATCCGCGCTCCCAAAGCCTCGATCGTTTCACTTACGCTGGATCCCACCTCCCAAGGCCGCGATCCGAGGCAATGTACGCCGGATCCGCGCTCGCAGGGCTACGATCTGCTGTGGATGACACTGGGTCCGCGCTCCCAAGGGTACGATCCCTTGTGAGTTACGCGTTATGCTGGAGCCGCGCTCCCAACGCCGCGCTTCCTGTTAAGTTGCGCTGGGCCCATTACAGTGGATCCGCGCTCGCGGGGCTCCGTCTTTTGTAGATTACACTTGATCCGCGCTCCCGCGGCCACGACCCCTGGTTAATTCTGCTTGATCCGCGCTCCCAAGGCCACGATCCTGGATAAATGCGCTGGATCCGCTCGCTCCAAGTCACGATCCCTGAAATTACGTTGGGGCCGCGCTCCCAAGGGCACGACATTTTGTCATGCACGAAGGATCCGCGCTCTCCAACTACGACCCTTTGTAAACTACGCTGGATCCGCCCTCGTAAGGCCACAATCCCTTGTAAATGACTGGATCCGCGCTCCGAAGGACACGATGCTGTGTGAACTAAACAGAATCCGCGCTCCGAGTTCCACAATGTGTTGCTAGTTACAATGGGTCCGTCTTCGCAAGGGCACGGTCCTTTGTAAGTTGAACTTGATACGCGCTCGCAGGGCTACGATACCTGGTAAATCGCGCTAGATCGAGATTCCCAGTTCCACGATCCCTCGTCATTTGAGATGGGTCCGCGCTCGTAGGGCGAGGCTCCCTGGTAACGCTGCCAGAAATAACCCGAGCGGCTTCTGCGTGACATGAGCCCAGAAGAGGGAGAGCGCCCTGACAATCTTCCAATAATCTCCAGTAGGCTTCGCAAGAGCGGCAATAAGGCCCGCAAGTTGGCCGAGATAGATGTCATGGAGCCCCAGGAGATCCAGTAGGGCTCACCGAGAGGGGTGAGGCCCCTCGGACGACCAGGTGGTGGAAGAGCAAGAGTAGGAGGCAGATGGCGACGACGAGGAGGATGGTGACAAGGGGGCCCTCGATGCCTGGGACCGGCGGTAATGGCTGGAGGCGTTTGCAGACAAGATCGGTGGGGAACCCTGGCATGTGACCACGCATCGGAAATCCTCAGGAAGCCGTGACGCCGAGCACCGCCGCGCACCAGCGAGCATCCTCAGAAGCCAAATCGGAGGCATCAAAGCGCAAGTAGAAACACTCCAATGCAAACACTGTTGTGGGGATTCCGAATGGACCTTTCGCCAGATGCGGGTTTCGACCGTCATCCGCCTTCCATCTATGTAACTGGTGGGTCTCTGAGCCTGTGTCGCCATACCATCTGACTGGGGCGAGACGCCAGGACCGCCATGCCGACGCTCCTGGTGATGCGACAGTGGGCCTTTTAGGAGGATGGGTCGAGGAGCTGACAGAACGCAACCCCACGGCCGAGAGCAACAGAGGCGGGGCCAGGAGTCCAGAGAACAAAGGTGCTTGGCTCTGCGAGGCACCCCGCGATTGCACCGAACCCTCCAGTGTCTTCCAAGGTCGCGTCTGAGCCTGCCGAATCGTCCGAGGCTGTCGTCTTGGAGCCTTCCGAGGCCCTGCGAAATTGGCCCCCGACACTCCGAAACCTTCCGATGCCGCCTGAAGCACTATCGTTCAAAACGCCCGTCGTGAACTTTCCCTTGCGTCGCGAGCGAGAGTCCTTCTGATGCCGGGTCCGTCCGATCGCCTCCCTGCCGCACCTGGAGCCCGTAGCTTGTCCATCTGGGAGGATGTCAGGACGACAGCGAAGAGGAGGATCATGAGGAAATGGGGGATGATGATGATGATGAGGAGGAGGAGGAGGAGGACCTGAGTCACCCCAAGATGCAGCAACGATGCTGCAATGCGCCCTCTCGTCCCACGTACCCTCCTCATAAGACCCTACCAGCATTTCTTTGTGCTGTGTGGGGCGCCCACTTGAAGGACAAGCGCCGCATGTGCCTGCCATTCAAGCGACCCGTTCTAGTATTGAAACCGTCCTCCATCCGTCTAGCTGCGATCAGTGGAAACATATGTCGGATCATTACATTTAAGGAGCTGTGAGAGCCCTGGATTGAATAGGAGCTGCCCTCCATTCTCATAATTGCGAAGCAGTTCTATGTTTCCGGATCGTAAGATGTGAGGTAATACCAAGCGGGGACCTCATTTGAGAACTGCGCGGGGCGCCAAAGCGGGAACCTCATTTAGAAGACGATCCGCTCTCCATCCCTGCCATCGTTGAAAGCTTCTGCAACGAGTGCGCGCGGCGCCAATGCGATAGCTTCAGGACTCAAAATGCCCGCAATCCATTCAAGGAGTTGCTGGAACATGTCGGACCGAATGTGCGCGGGGCCATGGCGATTTTTGCAAGATAAGAAACCAATCATACTCTGTCTGTGCAGCTCTTGGGGCCTTTTTAGTGCACACGGATGAGGCGCCAAACGAGAGCTTCATTTTGAAAGCGAACTCCCCCCGATCCGTGTGGCAGCTGGGAACCATTCAGGCGACGGTGCGTGGCACCAATGCGAGAACTTACTTGTGAACGAACGCTGGCCGTCCTCAATCCGTGTACGTAGCTGTAAAGAACATTCATTCATGAAGAAAACTCGCCGCGCCAATACAACAACGTCATTGTGAACATCGGCCCACCCTCCACCCGTGTAGATGCTGGAAACTTCTGCAACGAAAACAATAAGTCCACTTTGAAACTTAGACCTCCAACCGTTCAGCTCTTGGGATACCCAAGCGTCAAAGCCGTGTAATGTGAAACTGTCTCAGGCGCAACGCCCAGACCGTAACGAGGAGGGATTCTCTTTCGGACGGAGGGATGAGGAAGGAGGCGGGGAGAAAAAACAGGATGCGGGAGACGAAACGGAGAACGGGTTGCTTTTGCAACGCAATTATGGATGAAGGTAGGAAAGCGGACGAGGAATAATTGCTGTGACCTGACCTTGCGAGGCGAGGTTGCAGATTGCGACCTCACGCTCGTCTATCCATCCTGCCCACTGCCACCATGACGGTCCCCCACGCTGTGCTGCAGCTGCTAGCTGCGACGCTGCCGCTGGGGTGGCCTCTCGCAGCGAGGCGGGGGGCGCGGGGGCAGGGCAGAAGAGTACCCATATCCATATCCATCTCAATATATGCTTATATATATATATGTATTTGATAGGAATTTGTACTTGTATGTCTTTTATGTATTTATATAGATGCACCCAGCACCCCACGTATGATAGGGGACATGGAGCCTGTTTCCACCTCGGCCTCTACGGGCCTTGTGCCGTGGGGGTGGAATTGGGCTGTGGGAGCGAAGAGGATTGCCAAGCCACTGGTCAGCCAGACAAAGGCAATCTGGCAGAGTCTGCAAGAACACGTGAAGCGATCGGACAGGGGATTGGACGTAGATGTAAACACATGGAATGGGAGGGGGAAAGGACGGGAATGAGTAGAACGGGAGCGGATGGGAATGGGTGTGGAGATGGAATGCGGAAGAGGGGGAGGGAGGCAGGGAGAGGGGATGGCGCGGGAGTGGGGCACAGGAGGGTTGGAGGAGGATGGACGGATAGAGGGAGGGAGGGAAATAATGCCGTCTCGGCGACGCAGCGCGCGACGCCATGTCGGCAAGACGCAGGATGATGTTGCTGCTGCTGATGATGATGGTGATCTGTTGTTGGTGATGATGCCGATGGTCATGGTGATGTTGATTCTGCTGCTGATGAAGATGATGCTGCTGATGGTAATGCTACTACTGATACCAAGCATGATGTTGCGGACGATGCTGATGATGATGGTGATGGTGATGATGCGGATTATTTCCTCGACGTCATAACCGACTGCAGATCAGTGGCGTACAATAATGAGAAAGCATCATCGGGTCCGTCGCAGAGAGCCTCGAATCTCGCGTTGCCCCGCATCGGGCCTGTCGTGTAGGGTGCTTCGCAAAGGGGGCTTCCTGCGCAGCGCGTGCCTAGCAACATCGGGATTCAACGGCGTCAGCTGAACACACAATCTGCTGCTTCATCTTCGGCGGCTGTGTCGTGAACGGGTGGGGCCTCCACCTCGTGAGGTTACTCGCCCTCTGCGCGCGCTTGCACGGTGGGGTGGTGAGGTGGGGGCGCAGGCGCAGGAGGAGGGGTGAAATAATAGACAGATGCTCTGCTGCTGCTGCTGCTGCTGCTAGCAGGGGCCTGAGAAACAGTTGCCGCGCGGCTG